CTTGTAAAAGCCGTAAACTCAATGTTTTTTGGTGTCCTCTCAGAAGGTCATCGGTGTCCAGACTACCTGCTCTAGACCATCACGTCGGGGTCACCAAGCTGTTGGAGTCTAGAGTTCTTAGTTCTGAGGGAAAAGGAATTGTGTCCTAGACACTATTCTCTGTTAGCTGTACAAAACTAGACTTTGCACTCCAATGGATTGTTTCTTCAAATAAGCACTTTATTACACAGTTCAACAAAGATACATCAATCTGATACTATACCACAAAGCGCCTTGGACTCCTTCTTGGGTTCTCACCGTGACAAGCTCGTCAGTGTAAGATCCCAGTTGAAGAGAGCCTCGAGTACTGAATACATCCTGCTTATATACTGTTCCTAGCGGAGCCCCCACCTTCGCTGCTTTCTTGTGGTGTAATCTGCCGTTGCTACCCTAGCAACTCTTAGGTTAGCCTTCGGCGCGCTTTTGTTACTTCCTTATTTGCTTTCACTCACTTCCTTATCTGGTTTCACTCACAAGACTGCCCTTGTGAACTGTTGCGCCTGCTTGGTGGGTGATTTAGTGTGAGAATAATGAGTTCTGCAACCTTGTGGCTTATCAGTTTGGACATAACAGGATGCCTCTGTTCTTAATCTGGTTGACCCCGCGTTTTTGTTGCACACAGTATTCACATAGTATATTTCCACTGAGGCTTCTCAGCAGTTGGACTTTAACACAGTACTGTACTTTTCCACTCAGACAGCTCAATGTCTTAGCTTTTCCATGATAGGCCCACTATATCTTATATTCACTGCCACATTTGCCTTATCTTTATCCTTCAGAGGGGCAGGGTAAAAAAATGATACATGCTTCTTCCACCAACAAATGTTATTCGAGAAACTTTTACACAGGTTAGTTTACAGTAATATTCACATTAATCAGTCTGTTTATATTCACTGCTATGTAACTGTAACCTGAGAACCACTGATGCTACAACAGTGCAACAGTCCAACTTTTAAAGGAAACCCCCCCCCATTTAAAAACAGTTCTTGTTGAAAAAAACAAGCATATCTGCCTTCTCAGGCATACCGGGAAGAAATGTTTGAACATTTGAAAGTAAAATGCTTCAATCTGGTGCACTTTAAGCAGAATGACTAGAGACTAGATCTAAGGGGTACAACTCTAAACACCCATATGAAAAAGATTGGTTTACATTTTAATAATTAAATAAGTATGTGAACATAACCAATAACCTACCATAGCCAATAACAAATACATGTAACGTATTTTATTTTTGTTGTTCATTCATATCTTATTTTACTATTTTATTTATGCATATGTTTTTATCTCTCCATGCAGTTTAAAACGATATGTCTGGTTTACTGTCCTATAGTATACATTGGAATGATTTCAAACCTGTTTTATCCCAATAATTATAAAGGAGTGCCTTGGAAATATGTGTTTACATAAATTGTGATCAAAACGTTTGAGACCCACTGAGATAACTTAGACTAAAGTGAACTATCTAAACACTCAGAGTTCTCTACCTCACTGAGCTGTAGTTATCAGCCTCTCAGTCTGACTGGAGAGGACTCTCCCTCCACATCATTGTAGAAACATCTTCTTCTTCCGTTAGAGCAGCTAGTATGGAGTCAGATTTGGGTCAATATTCTAGCGCGCAAAACAAGCTACTCACAAGCGGAAAATGTGCTTTTACACGCGCATGAAATGACCAGATGCACCAGATGCTAATAACAACAGCGCTGGTACCGGTGCACCCTCCCTTTCTCCCACGCACACTCGCACTTTGGCTGTGAGCTGCGGGCGCCAGATAAGCCAACATCCCCCATTTTCATCACTTACAGCGCCCATCGTACAGGGCAAATGAAAAGTGTAACCGGGGTGAAAAGGGTGTTACATTTACTTAATTATGAATGTTGTTACATCAAGGCCGAAAATTAGGATGAGCCCTAACGGTCAAAAAAATTGTTTTCCCTCCCAGAGCTGTCAGCGCAGCGCCTCCACGGCGAGAAACATTTCCTCAGGCATCGAAAAGCGGAACCGAAATTCACATTTCTAAATGATGCCGTTGGAATCGAAATGTTGGAACCGGTTCTCGGTACCCAACCGTAAACAGCGTGTTTCCTGACGGACACACACAGCGTTGAGACCGGTCAGGTAGAGTATGGGGGTTATTCCCTATCTTTATTCAAGAGCGTGGTATTTAAATTTGAGAGCATACTTTATTGATTTCTTTCCCTCAAACCCTGTCCTCACACTCAAATAGTGCCTGCTTGCACATAGATTTGCTCTGCTTCTGCTCAAACTGTATGCTTACACTCAGATATATTGCTGCTTACAGATGTCCTGTGTTCCAGCCATACTTGCCAACCCTCCCGATTTTCGCGGGAGACTCCCGATTTCATTGCCCTCTCCCGGTTTCCTCCCGGGGTCATATTTCTCCCGCATATACAGTAATATATCTGAGTGCAAGCGTACAGTTTGAGCAGAAGCAGAGCAAATCTAAGCGCAAGCAGGCACTATTTGAGTGTGAGGACAGGGTTTGAGGGAAAGAAATACATATTCTGAACGTGAAATCAATAAAGTATGCTCTCAAATTTAAAGACTACGCTCTTGAATAAAGATAGGGAATAACCCCCATAGTAGAGACCGGTCTCCAGTCAGCACAGATGCAGACTCGCTGTTTGATGGCTTGGTAACCCACTCCGCTCCACAGTCGTTGGTTTGGAACAGCACTTAGTGTGTAGGGGTAGGGTGTAGGGCGTGGTTTGGGATTGAGCCTTAGTGTCCTCTTTGCTCCCTCTGCAGAGGTGCACCTGATTTGCTACTGGCTCCGCCTCTGCTCTGGTGTTCCTGATCTGCACTAACGACCCATATAAAATGAAGGCTGGAGGAAATGGCTCTCTCTTCAGTGTTTTGTTTAAGGCTGCCAGCACATGTTGGGCTCGAAGGCAATGAGGTGGCAGATAGGGGACAGTTTAGGCAGAGAAAGGGTTGAACTACAGTTTCCATTTGGAAGGATGGAGTGTCGTTGCATCACCAGTGGCGACAACAATGTGATGCTGACAGCAGAGGAAGAACATTCTGCAAAATCCAACTGTCAGTTAAACCAGGCAGCAGAGTGAACCTGCCTTGAAATGATGACGTCAAATTGACTAAGCTGCAACATTGTGGGCTGGCAATCGTGCTTATGATTTTGAGAAAACACAAATATGGCAATTGTGAACACTGTGGACTCCTGGAGACTGTCCAACATCTGCCAAACTCTGGCCAGTCTGCTGTAAAATAATATTAATAAGAAGTATCCCTGACCAAAATGAACTTTCGTGAACTGAAAACAATGTTAAAGGGTTAACGTTGTAAGAAGAAAACAAGGACAACACGTACTGTAAACTGGACACCACCATGTAAGTAACCTGTGAAACACAATGATGCACACCCTGGCACAACTAAAGCTCAATTGTTTATTTATTATTAAGCAGGACCATAATTGATTATATATTTATATTGAATTTATATTGAATACACATTTATTGTCAATTAGACTTTAATAAGGTAAGAACATGTTCTTCTTGACTTCTATACAACCAACCACCCTTCTTTTTGCGACCAGTGTTGACGCAAACACTCTGGATATTTGAAAAAAGCATGTTTACGGCATTTTTTGCATCGTCTTCACTTTACAGACTGACATATTTTGGGCTTTGGCTTAAGGACAAACAAAGGATAAAGAAAATATCCTATGAGGGAACAGAGACTGGCATGGCTAATAACACCTGAAACACCATGCTGATGTGTTATTGCCAGAGGTGGGAGTAAGTCCTACATGTGCAAGTCATGAGCAAGTCTCAAGTCTTGACCTACAAGTATCAAGCAAGTCCCAAGTCACTGTGGTGAGAGTCAAGCAAGTCAAGTCAAGTCATTGCTCAGGTCAAGCAGGTCAAGTCAAGTCATACAAAATTCTGATGAATAAACCCAGTTTCCGCATTTAAATCACTTAAAAAAACGGTGGTTATGAAAATGGATTCAACCCACACTATGATCTTCATTACATACACAGTTAATCATTTGAAATCTAATTTAGACCGATGACAATCATATTAGATACATATTAACCCTAGAACTGCAGACAATATAGCTAGGACTCAAAAAGTCTGTTCAAAAAGGCAGAACTCCAGGTAAGAAAATCATACACAGGGATGCAAACACAGGTATGGTGAAAAAAGAGAGAACTATTCGAAGCAGAAAAAAAACAGTGTCAAATATACCATCTGACAAAGGCCTGTGCTATAATGCTTCAATTAACTGGCTATTCTTTATAATATACTCTGATCAATAGGAGACAGAGATGTTAAGCTATAAATCAAGGGTTTTTATTATTATTTACAGCAGGGGTGGGGAACTTAACGTGAAGAGACGTTACGCTCGTGTTGTGTTCAATTAACCTGTCATTGGCCAGGAAAAACAGGCACTCGCTTGTTTAATTATTTTGCGGTCTAGATTTCTTCTTCTTTTTTGAAGTGAGAAGTTGTCCGGGTCCACCCCCCCCCCCCCCCCCCCCCCCCAAAACGAAAACTCTTCGGTTCTCCACGAATTACACGAGTCACTCAAATCAGCGTTAAAAAAGCGGGAGGCGCCGAAATGTATGGAATGCCATTTAAGCCAATATTAAATAAATATATATATACATAAATAATTAAATAAATACATATATATATAAATATGCCTATGAAATAAATTATAAAATAAATAAATTAGGCAATAAATATGTATACATGTACATTTAAATACACATTTATTTATTTCAAGAGACTTGTATTTCATAATGACACATTTATTTATTTAAAGAGACTCGTATTTCATAATGACATATTTATTTATTTCAGATGACTTGTATTTCATAATGACGCGTTTCTTTATTTTAAGAGACTCGTATTTCATAATGGCTTATTTCATGTGACTTGTATTTCATGATGAGACATTTCCATTCCTTATGTGCAAATGAACGGGGCGTGGTTAGCTCACAGGTCCAGAGACCCAGACCAAAGCAACAGCACCACACTGACTACTCGAGAAGAGGAAGAAAATGGAGGAGAAGGACTATAAGGCAAACTACTAAATGAAAATAACAACATGGAAGACGTCGGTGGGCTCCAAGACTTAACTGGTTCTTATCTGGTCTTCTCTGGTCTTATCTGGTCCGCCCAATGCTGCTCTTCTGAGAGCAACCGCTCTGACAGCTCTCTCTAGTCTCTACTGGGAAACAGCTAAAAGTCCTTCTGGAGGTAAGCAACGCTACACAATTACACCCAGTCTGAGAGTAAAATATGTCTCGAAGGTTCGTTTTGCTTTCTTACAACGTTAAGTTAATGTTCACGTAACCTTACGTTTGCTAGGAGGCTATCGTTACGAGCTAGCTGTCTTAGCTAACAACAGTTAGCAGCTAACGTTTTCTGCAGTTTGTGTTGCCCCTGAAAAACGTGATGTAGTTATTTAAGGGTATGTTAAATTAACGTTATTTTACAAGTTGAGAGAGTTAAGTTGTGTTTAAAATCGTCAATGTAATGCACGTTAGAGGTTTTGTGTTGGACCTGAAGTTAGCTAACGTTAGCTAACTCCACCAGGTTAGCATGTTAAGCTGTACTTTTTGTGTCAGCTAGCTTAATACAAAGAGGGGTTTTGTGCTTCATTGCAAACTTTTCTTTGTTAATCTACCTGAAACTGTAGGGACAGTTTGTTTCTACTCAACTATACAGACCATTGTTGAGGAGATGCAAAACATACTGTACATGAGTTGGGTCCAACATATACCTTGAGTAATGTTACTTTGTTGCTAAAAATGAAACATCATTATCAGATGAGGACATCACCAAAGTGTGTGAGCCTGTCAGGGGATTTGATCTGTTCTCTGCATGTCCTAAACACTGCTCTGGTATTACTTATCTTGTAACATGTAAGTCTCCCGCTCTTGTCATCTTTCAGGCTTTGCATTTGAACTCCTATGACTGGTTGCGGACTTGAAGGGAACGCCTTCCTGACATCCAGGAAAAAGGTGAGATTATAATACATTTGAATGCCAAAAGCAAGTTATTGTTTTTAACTTTTTAAATATGATTGTTTTGGGGCATTTCAGTTTTATTGGACAGAGGCAGTAGATATCTACTGGAAACAGTGGAGAGGGAGGAGATGATATGCAGCAAAAGGCCCAGCCGGATGGTTGCTGCTCCGTGTGGAACGTGTCCTATCAGGTAAAGCACTTTGGTACCCAGTTATTTATGGTGTTGAGTTTGAATTTAGCTTTTGGAATGTAATTTCCAACTGTGCATTGTAAAGACTGAAAAAACAGCCTCAGGTTAAAGCTTGACATGATTTGGTCTTTTACTTAAGATGTTTGTCCTCCTGTGTTGTCTTATTTCCTTATCTTTCTTTCAGGTGTAACATCTACCAATGGTTGTACATGACAGAGACCTCCTCCACCTCTTTGCTGTCTTACTAGTCAATCCTTCTGATCAGGTCCTTTCCTAAATAGTGGTACGTTTTACAGTTCAGTGTACGTTAATTTAGTAACTTAATAAATCCTATATTGCTAGTCATTTTATTAAAACTACAATTTGTAAACTATTTGATTCCAATTACAATAATCTTTTTGTTATAATTGTAAAACATATCTTAACATCCATCAGCAATCAATACAACAAATCATCCAACACTAAATAGAAGAAATCTGGACCTATTTATTTGTATACAGCAGCATGTTTTGGGACTGCTCATTGATGTCATCAAGAGCCATTGAGTCTACCTTTTGTAGTCGGCCTCTCAGAATGTTTATCATTTATTTGTATTTTAACATTCCTATAATAATTAGTTTTTTTATTGTTTTGTTGTGAGAATCACTTTGCAATTATTGTGTAAGTGCTATATAAATAGTTATACTAATATTATTGTTGTTACTATTATTAATAATGTCTTCTTTGTTTTCTTTATTCATCGCTGCAGAAAGGATCATGCCAGCCCACATCAAACACCTGATCAAGAACTTGTGAACCTCACTGCTGCAGACACCTGTGTGATATTCCACTCTGACTGGAACCCTCAAAATGACCTGCAGGTACAATATATATATATATATATATATATATATATATATATATATATATATATATATATATATATATATATATATCTGCTCTGTCCATCCTAAAGATAGTTCAATAGGGCGACAACAACAACAGTCTTTCCGTTTATTCCCTCGGTTCTTTAAGTGTATATTTTCCCATTTAATGCTTAAAAACGTTGAACAGCAGCTGCACATGATGCTCTTTTGACCCCTCTTTTAATTTTGTATTTCAGGCTCAAGCTCGGTGTCATCGTTTTGGCCAGTCTAAGGCGGTGGAGGTGTACCGTCTGATCACTAGAAACTATGAGAGGGAAATGCTGGATAAAGCTAGTCTGAAGCTCGGGCTGGACCGTCCCGTCCTGCAGAGCATGAGTGGCAACAACAACGGGGTGAGAAAAAGAAAATCTGTCATATTTCTAGATGCCAAGTCATCTTTGGGTCAGTCGCTGTTGCAGTACGCTTAGTTTATTTTCAAAAAGAGTTTTCTAAATCCACTTGTGTAAATGTCTCTCTGCGTCGCCTTTAGCCGGTCCAGCAGTTCTCCAAGAAGGAGATCGAGGACCTGCTGAGGAAAGGAGCCTACGCCGCCATCATGGACGAGAACGACGAAGGCAATCGCTTCTGCTAGGAGGACATCGACCAGATCCTGCAGCGAAGAGCCACCATCAACACCATCACCAGGTATGTTCTTAGCAGCACTAGCCACTTGCGCTTTGTGTTGGTAACCAAGTACTTGGTTATTTGAAATGTAATATTGATGATGTAATAATTAAAACTAGGGATGGGTACCGAGCCCCAGTATTAACGGGGCCCCGGGGCTGAATTATTAAAGACCGTGGTACCGTTAACGTCCAATGTTATCAATCTTTTTATCGTTACGGGAGACATTTAAAAAATAGATGTCATATGTATTATATCTACATAAACATTATATTGCAGTCTTACTGCAACTCCGTTTCTAATATGCAATAAGACTACAAAGTGCGTCTATGATTTATTTTCGATCTTTCCAATCCAGACGAGATCTCTCTCCCCTGTCGGTGTGCGAGGGGGTGGGGCAGTTTACACACAGAACCTGCTACATGCATGCAACACACACACACACACACACACACACACACACACACACACACACACACACACGTGCGCACACAAACACATGGCGGAGAGAACTAAGCGCCCCGAGGGTAGTTATGTTACCCGTCTTGAGCATGGATGTTTAATAAGAACTGGATACAGCGTCGGAGGAGGGGCCTCGTTCTTTCCTATGAGAGCTGCTCATTGACGCATGAAGTCAAAATGGCCCAACTTTTGAGAGAGCGAAACGTCACAGATTACCCGTCATGCCTGGCTGTCAGAGCAGAATAACCCGTTTGTGCGCTCACAGAGCATGCGCCCCTTAAGCCCCGCCCCCCGAGCACACACTCTCGGCTCACTAGAAAGAATGGAGAGAGAGAATACATCTAGATTCGGCTTTTAGTGCATTTTACAACTTTAAGAACTTAATGATTCTAGGGCTATACAATAGTTCATACTGGGTAGTTTATTTAGTTTCAAAAAAAGTATCCACCGAGTTACAGATGTCTCTTTCCCAATGTTAGTCAATGGGAAAAAGTATTTCTGGGCCGGTCGACGTCACAGACTGATAAGGAAATTGTAGTTCCGCCGTTTGGACACAACGAATATTTTCCTCAGAGTCCGGCACACTTCCTGGGGGCTTGGTCTTGAGGTGGCCAATAGTGCAATAAGAATTTAGCATGTAAGGGCGGTAACACAAGCTATTTGTCTAAACATTTAGCAAAAGTGCTCCACATTCAGACGGAGAAATGCACCGGGTTCGACTGTCTTTCTAGTAGCTCTGTAGCCCCATCCACGAGTAACGTTTCCACGTCAGGTATATATTATGTATGCTAGCAGCAACACACAGAGTTAACTCAATGATACAAACATGGGTTAATGATTAGAGGTAACTGAGTTATTTATTTTGTTAAAGTTACAGCTATTCTGTTTGCAGTTCTATCATCACATAATTGAATAAGATTTGTTAAAACATTGTTGTTTCTTATTTTCAGTTTGCTTCAAGCAGTGGCTGCACGAGAAAGACGTGGAGGACCAAGAAATGCTGGCCAGATTGGCAAAGACCGGAAGATACATAACAGCGAAGATAATGGATATTAACAAGAAAAAAGAAAAAAAATGTTTATAATTTCTTTGTTGCTGTTTACATTTTGAATTATATTTGTTATTTTTAAATCAAATGCATCTTTTTTAGATGATATATTTATTTAGATGTAGGTTTTTTTTGTAATATTATTGTATTAAGTATAATTTATTAAATAAAAATACTGTTATGAACACTATACAATGTCTTTATTTTGATAGTTACCAGAATACATTGTATATTTAATAATAACATAAGCTGGTGATAGATAAATGCTGGTCTGCTCGTATGCCAGCAGACAAATATTTATAAAGACAGGGTATGGCTGGAGTAGGCTACACCCATACCAAGAAATGGCTTAGCCCCACCATGAAAAATGATGTTAAAGTAAGCAAAATAAAGTCCGCCAACTGGCGCGGAGTAAATTGCACAGACAGCAGTTAGTAAGATTGATTTCAGCAGCCACTTGTCTGGAAATACGGAAGACCAGAAACGGTTTTGAAAACTTTTGTCACGTAGTGATCGTCTTCCCAATAGAACATCTTTGATGTCTTCTGGCCAATCAGAATCAAGATAACGGCGTGGTGTTGTTGCAGGTAGTCCCGACGGAGAATACTTTAGCTGTAGTACAGGTAACACATAACTGGTACGCAGGTTATGTGCGTAATCTGAAATGCGTACCGTCACTTGTGTCACAAAGCGCATTTGCGTACCGACGTACTTGTGAAGCTTTTCCAGAAGGCGGTTAGATCACCGGACGACAGAGTCGGTCTCCGTGTGCACAGACAGGGCTGCTGTTAACGTCGGTCTGTACAACGGAATTGTGCCAAAACTACACCAACCGGCTGCGGAGGGAGACTCCTCCCTTCACTGGAGAACTGCGCTAAAACAGCTGATCACAACGTTCACACTCTGTGGTCACGAAGTACTCCACTCCACTAGCGCCCCCCCCGTCGACTTTCCTGAAGTTTCTAAGTAAGATAGAAATCAATACGTAATGAATTAAGACCCCACGGTTTGATGATTGATAGGTGCTCTCTTTCATTTTGACACAGACATTTTTTACAATAAACATGTTAAATGGATATATCCTCATCGATCATATAATGTATCATATATTTCCTTATCTGAGTCAGCTTCTCCAGCCGTATCTGGCCGTGCAACACTTACAGTGTCACATACTGTATGCAGAAGAGAAGTATTATTTTAAGCAACACATTATGTTGACGAAACACTCGAGTCAAATGTAATTAAAGTCAGATCCACTCGTGTCTTAGACGTGAACGCGCTCTCAGCTGGAGAGAGAAAACCTGGCTTGATTTCATTTACCGAGTTGATAACCAGCGTTGTAGGACTGCTTAGCGAGATCTCGTTTGTTAGTTTGTTGTTAGTTTGTTTGTTACTCAAACATATCCAGGGTATGTTGAACTGGCTTCGTAGTACAGAGCACAGGTGGCTAGCAGCGCTAATGTCAAAGGCACAGACATTGCATTATATTTGTATTTTACCAGGATGCAGTGACACACAAATATTTACATATTTACATTTACTATCTACAGCACCCGCCGCCCCTGACATCCCCCACTCCCCCTGTTGACAATTTACTAGCGGTACCGAAGTGGGCCGGTCGAGAGTCCCGTGATGATTTTTAGTCCCACTGGCTACATGACCGTATGATCGCCCATATTGACGCACCTAATTCCTAAACTTCTAACAGATACAACATAAACCGATCCTTCAGCCTCATATGAGCTCTCAGACACGTTCAAAATTAAACTGTCATCGCTGTCTGAGCTTGCTGCTGTGTGCGCCATCGTGCGTTTACATGCAGATGCTGGGATCCTGAACCGTGCAGCTGGAGCGCTGTGCCCGCAATGACGTCACACATAATTTGGCGGGACTTGAAGAATCCCCGAGAAGATCCAGAAAATGGTCAACATTGAAGGGCAGATTAATGGTTATCAAAGTACAAATATCCAAAATCAGTTCAGTAACGGTTTTCAAGGGGACAATATTTACTCAAATTGATGGGTTTAGATGATGGGGGAAACTCGTGTCACAGGCTCTTTAAATGGCATTCCATAGAAAAGCGACTAATTTGCATTTTCCATTACACATATTTAATTAAAATTTCTGTTAACACTAGAACCGCCAACAGCGTCAGCGCCTACATAGATATCATTTTCAAATCATTTAATTTGTTCCTCTTCATAATTTCCTTATAAACTAAGTAGGACGATTTAAAACTCACTTAATTGGGTTAATTTAGAAATTGCTTCAGTGTATCATCATAACAGATCAAAAAGTTCAGATTCATTTTGCAATAAATCAAGGAATGATGCACTTCTACAAACAAAAACATCATAATTAAAACATTTAAACAAACTACTAAAAGTAGATGAACTACATTATTCAAAAATGTACAGTAACTTCTGATAATAACACAGGGGAAATAAACGAGGCATCTCTTTTTCTCTCTCTCTTTTTCTCTCTCTCTCTCTCTCTCTCTCTCTCCCTTGGCGGTTCTAGTGTTCATTTACCGTTTTGTCTTCTCTTTGCTTAATCGATTTGAAACCAAGTCTAACGTAGCTTAAACTTAACGTTAGTTTTCTAGCTAACACAACACATTCACGCACCTTTCTCTGTGGGGTTTTTTGTAGTGACGAATGAAGTTGGATGTTGTGGTGGTCGTGTCACTGATCTTTATGCTGCAGACCCTGCATATCGCTGTTCTCTTCTTATTACCGTCATCGACAAAATAATCCTTGAATCCAAACTTCACTATTTGTGGAGTAATACTAGCTGCTGCCATGTTAACTGACACTCCTGCCTTCTAGTGGGTTGCCAGGTTTGCGCGCACGGCGCTATAATCACGTTTTTCGAAAAAACTAAACGTAATATCTCACTACAAAAACAAACGCAAATATTTAATTGTAAACAGTCAATTCCTTTCAAGTCATCTATCTCAAGCTTAAGTCAAGTCTCAAGTCATGAATACCAAGTCAAAGTCAAGTCAAGTCTTTTATCAATGTTAGTCAAGCAAGTCTCAAGTCAAAAAATATGCGACTCAAGTCTGACTCGAGTCAAGTCATGTGACTCGAGTCCCCACCTCTGGTTATTGCCTTTGTGTGAAATAAAGCAATAACTATGACTGATTGTATCTCGTATCTAAAAGCACACAAGGTGCTTTGATAGTGTGAAAAGACTGATGATTTTTTTTTGATAATTGTATTTTGCGCCTCAACTGTGACATGTCTCCATGCTTTAATGTTCAAAAAGCTCTTTATTTTACTCGTACTGCCTGTGCTGCAGCACCTCTTGTCACCCTCTGTCTGAAACCAGAGCCCAGTCTGCTCTGATTGGTTAGCTGGTCGATTGGTCAACTGCTTAGGGATGTGTTTCATAGTGATGTCACTATGTTACGAAAGTAAACAAAGAAGTACAATGGAAGCTTTTCAGGCAGGGGGGGGTGAAGTATGTGGGAGAGAAACTCCCTCTGGAGGGAACTTTGGGATTTTAGCCTAAAAGGCACATTTGGCCCCCTTTTTAAAAAAACTGTAGGCCTATAGCTATTCATTTTAAGTCTGACTGCTGTGAATTGTATTTGTCTCTATTCATAAACCCTGAGTGTGAGGATTTCTTAAAATCTCAACACAGAGTCACACACAGTTAGTGCTGCGTACCGGTACGCCGAACCGGTACTGGACTTGTAAAACATTTCGGTTCAAGTCCGGTTAAAACCGGAACGTCGGGAACCGGTACTTGGACTCGCAAAAAAACTAGCACTTACGTATTCTGGTGTCTGTGGTTATTTAAACATTCCCTGATAAACGTTATTCAGCGTCAATAAATGAGTGCTAATCCCAGTGTGCTCAGTGTACAACATCACATGTCATTTCACCTTCGATTCACGGTTTGAAAACGTAGCATTTCGCCACATGCTAATGCTAACCGGAAGTGAATAATTTTCATAATAAAAGTATTAAATTAAGTGTGAACTTCCGGTTTTTTCAGAATAAAACTGATTTAAATTAAATAGTGTATTTAATTCAAAATTACACCATATCAACATTGATTTTAATTTCTAACAGTATGTATGTACATCACTATGTATGTAGTATGTACTGTATAATGTACACATGTAGAGTTGTAGAAAATACATGGTGTACAGACAGTACAGTACACTCTGACTGTACAGTCACTACAGTGTAGTCTATACTGTATAGTAGGTGTGTAACAGTGTAATGCGTATAGTCTACTCTACACTCTACCTTTCAGCAACGTTTTAGGGATTTAGGCTCAGTCAGCTCAGGGACTGTTTGGTTACTTTAGTTTGGTAAATGAAATAAATGTTTGAACTTTGTAGTAGTTCACTGTAGTTGCTGTCATAAGTCATAGACTTTTTTTTACATTTGTACTTTGTAGAGAAATGTAGACACAAGTTGGAAGGGAGCACAATAAACCTGATGAGTTTGAATTTGAGTTGATTATGAGTTAATTTTCAATTGATAATTAGCTCACAATAAGTTCACTTTAGTTACTCACACAACTTGACACAAGCCATGGGTTCAGGTCCGGACTTATAAGTCCGGACCTGAACCTGAACCTCTGGACTTGAGTCCGGACCTGAACCTGAATGTGAGTCCAGGTACATAGCACTACACACAGTACAGCCAAACAAAGTTGTCAGAAAAATATAAAGTCTTTATCCATAGGATAATACATTTCAATTATAATGTCTGTTGCAGCTTGTAAGCCGGGTGGAGGTATTGAGAAGCAGAATAACTGGCACAGTGAGTGCCTCAGTAAGCACCCAACATGCCCTGATTTATTTCCGCTGGCTGATTGGAGACAGTCGGAATCACTCTTGCAAACGGTGTGTATTTAAAACAGCTGCATTGCAACTCCGTTAAACACACAGAAAGCATCAGTGGAACACAAACACACAGGAATGAATTTCTGCTCAACACACTCAACAGGAGAGTTATTAATTTACATCACAACAGAAGGGATTTTATTATGAAATGTGTGCCAAGTGCAAACACTTGTCAGATTTATGCTCTTTGACAAAGGGAGTTTTGTGAGTGACTGTGTTCAGTTGAGCTACGCTCTGTGAAATCTATTCCGCTAAAGAATTTAGACATTCCACTACAACTTGTTCGAAGTCTAAGATCTTTGCTTTACAATTATGAACACTAGGCATCCAAGGTGTTTTTTTGGAGAGTATTGTTGGCTGCTAAAATGAAAATACTTTGTCAGACTATTGTATGTGTCCCTCCATTGACATTGGCAAGTTTGAAGGTGTCATAAAATATAAAAGTTGACAAAAGTTATAAAAGTGAACTATGCTTTTGGTCCAAGGTAGTGTTCAGGGCTA